ACTCCTAGCAATAACCAGGAAATGTGCTGGAGTTGAGCTGGCAGTGGCCCAGACCTCTGCAAGTGAGCAAGAGAAGTCAACATGACTCATTTTGCTCTCGAGGAGCATCCTGCTCTCCCTCTTCATCCATCCCTTTACCTTTTCCATGGATGGGTCAGATCAGCCTTGCTGAAGACTGTGGGCCAGGGAGGAGCCACAGATGGAAGATGAGGTAACTAGCTGCAAATACATTGATTGGTGGCCCGTCGTGTGCCAGAAATTGATTCTTCAAGACATCCTTTGAGGCAGGTCTGCTTATTCCCATTTTACAGATGATGATACTGAGGCACAGAAAATTTGTTTACCTGCCCAAGGTCGCACGGCTACTAGGTGGCCAAGTCAGGATCTAAACTGAGGTCCATTTATGCCCTTTTTACATACTGGGGAGAAATATTTTGTTCTTTGCAACCCAGTCAGTGCACTGATGGAGACAATGCAAGCCGCCAGGAGACTGACATTTCCAGAAAACTCTTGCTGTCTCCGCGCTGGTCTCCCCTCCGGCCGGCTGCCGCCACTGTCGAAGTGCCCTCGCTCTCTCTGGCAATGTGGAGGCCTCTGCCAAGACCACGGCAAATCCTCACTCATTCTGTCTGAAACAACCCCCCACATTCCGTAGCCCTGGCTCCACTCGCCACACTCAAGCTGAGCTGTTATCAACAGGACCGTTCCAGGCAATAAAATGACTCTGCAAAACACCAGTCTTGCACTAGGGGTCAGTTAAGGTGCCAAATATAAACCCTCCACTCAAGCCGGCTGAGTCAGTCAATCCCACCCATCCTATCTCTCAGGCCTGGTCTAAGTCCAACACGGGCGGGAGGAGGAGAACGCTCCAGAAACCTTGGCCTCCCCTGACCACAGCCGCCTTCGCAGGGGCAGGCAGCTGGATGGCACCCACCTAGGTTCAGAGCTGGGAACACCAGCTGCAGTTTGGCCCACGACCGAGCACTCAAGAGTAAATTCCTGTATCCCAGCCTCAGCAGAGTCTCAGGAAATGTCAGGAATTGGAAAGAGGAATGCATGCTTCTGGGCGCTGAGGTTAATCTGGGGCAGACCAAGAGAGAGTCGACCAAAAAAGGAAAGAGAAACGAGAAGGTGGCTCACTTGGTTGCTTAATTGTCTTCCTGCAGTCTTGTGAATCCTGAGACTGTGATACTCAGCTCTACCAGCCAGTCCACACCACTCGCCCCCAGCCACTTCTCAGCTTGGCAGTGCTCCAGGGAGTGTCACGTGGCCTGTCCGGTGGGAGCAGAGGATCCATGCTCCTTAGGGCACTGCTCTGGGCACAGAACAGCAGAAGCCCCTGCACCAGCAGAAAGTCATCCCTCCCAGCCACGCCGGCCGCCCGCTGTCCCCTGCCCCCTGGCAATGTCAGAAACCCCTGCATCAGAGAGCACCAGACTGCCCACTGCTTTGTGGCAGCTTGAAGCCTCGGAAGCACTGAGCGCTGCAAGGTGGGCGGAGCCACACATGCATGTGTACACTCTTCCCGAAGAGGGGCCCGGCCTTCTTGGTTCTGTAATGACCAGACCTTATGGAGCACAGGAACATAGTCCTCCTAGAACTCCCTAGCTCCAGGCCCCAGATATCCCTTTGCCTACTCACCTTCTCCACTCGGATGGAGAAATGGACATCTCAAAGTTAATATGCCCCGAAGCTTCCCTCTCAAACTTGTCCTGCCTTCCTTCTTCCCCATCCTGAGCAATGCCAGAACCATCCTTCCAGTTCCTCAGGCCAAAAATCCTCAAGTCAAAACCCACATCCCATCCAAGGACTCTCTCTTTGAGATATATACAGAATCCCACTGGTTTCTCGCCTCCGAACACAAGCTACAGCCATTTCTCTCCTGGGTTACTATAATAGCCTCCTAAATGTCTCGCTTCCACCCTTCCTTCTCCTCAGACTATTCTCACCTGGAAGCCACTGCTGCCTTAAAAAGAGTAAGTCAGACCACATCACACTCAACTAAAAAAACCCTCCAGAGTCTCCTCATCTCACTCAGAGTACTTACAATGCCTCATGAAGCTCTACACAATCTGGTACATGTGGACACACACACACACACACACACACACACACACACACACCTTTCCTCTCTGACCTCTTCTCTTATTCTTCATCCCCTTGCTCACCCAGTCATCCTGGTCTCTTGTTCTTCCTTGAATATGTCATCCCTGCTTCTACCTCAGGGCCTTTGCACTTGCTGTTTCCTTTGTCTGAAGGGCCCTTCCCTTCTTGGCCAAAATATAGCTCTCTCTGATGGTTTTACAATATGCACATGGGTTCTTTGATAGTCTCCCCCTTCAAGAGGTGGAGCCTAATTTCTCTCCCCTTGACTTAGTGACGCAACTCTAAGGAACAGAATAAAGCACCGCGATGATGTGTGCCTTCAGGGACTACATCATAAAAGGCACTGTACCTTCCCCCTCATTTGCTCTCTCTTGAATCACTCACTCCAGGGGAAGTCAGCTTCCATGTCATGAGGACAATCAGGTGGCTCTGTGCAGAGGTCTACAACAGTAGGAAAGTGAAAGCGAGGCCTTCTGCCCAGAGTCCCAGGAGGGAGCCACTGTAGAGGCCAACCCTCCAGCCTCAGGCAGGCCTGCAGGGGATGCGACCCCAGCCATCAGCTGGACTCCAGCCTCAGGAGAGATCCCAAGCCAGAAGCACCTGGCTAAGCTGCTTTGAAATTCCTGACCTTCAGAAACTGTGAGAGGTAATAAATCTTTGTTGCTTAAGCTTCTAAGTTTGGGGGTCATTTGTTATGCAATCATAGATAAACAGTATGCTTGCTTCCTCATTTCCTTCACTGAGGTGTCACCTTCTCAGAGACGCCTTCCTTAACCACCCTCTTGGAAGCAGGATTTCCCCAGCCGCCTTCTGTGATTTCTTACTCTCCACAGCACCTACGGCCTTCTAACACCCTGTATCATTTCCCTGTTTCTTTCATTGTCCTCCTTTTCCTTAGAATATAGGTTCCACGAGGGCAAAGTATTGTGTCTGTTTATTGGCCTGCAGTCAGCACTCAGTAAATATTTGCTGAATGAATAAATGAATGCATGCCACAGCTTCACTGTCTGTATTCACTTCCTGAATTCAAGATTCATTTTTTTTAGATTTTATTTATTTATTTGTCAGAGAGAGAGAGAGAGAGAGAGAGAGCGCTCACGCGTGCACGCACAGAGCAGGGGGAGCAGAGGGAGAGGGAGAAGCAGGCTCCCCGCTGAGCAAGGAGCCTGACAGGACACGGGGCTGGATCCCAGGTGACCTGAGCCGGAGGCAGATGCTTAACTGACTGAGCCACCCAGGCATCCCAAGATTCATGCATTTTTAAAACCTTGTTCTGATGCTGTTTTTCTAAGGACTCTGTCTGGTCTTTTTTTTTCACGACCACACAGGCTGGAAAAGGCCAGTTTGTTTTAGAGAGGAAGGAGGTCACCCAGCCTCTCTCATCAAAATAGGTCTGCCCCCAAGATGGGCACCTTGCAGGCTGGTGGCTTTGTCTTTCATACTTGACTGACGATCGGTTTCCAAGGATTTTAATTTAGTCAAACAGGCTCCACAAGGCAAACAGTCCAAGCAGCCGATATCCTGAGCAGAGGCTAATCTGATGGTCTTGGTGTCTGTCCATTCACGGCCGTCATGTGTGGCCAGCCTGCGGTCACGTGGCACCGGAGGGCAGCTGTATCAACAGGCCCCTTGCAGGTCCTCACACGATGCGGCCAGAAATCGAGTTGCACGTACAGGAGAAGGCAAGCATGAGGGCCCACTGGAGACGGAAACCCTCTTGTACACGAAAGGCCTGTGCAGGGAGAACACATTCTGTATCCGGGGCCTGTGTTCTTAGAAAGCTCGGTGTCGGCCACTGTTGTGCAATCACCACTCTTGCTTACCTGCTTGTTACATAAATACATAAGATTCTCTCTCTCCCTCTCCCACTCCCTTGCTCTCATGCACTTTCTCTCACTCTCTCTTAAAAAAAAAAAAAGCCACATAATCAAAAGGCATTTCTGTGTTCACGGCATTGTGTGTTCTCTGCGTGACAGGTGTATCTGGGAGGAACAGTCAATACATCTGGTTCAGGCCCAGGCTCCACGTTAATCAGTGGGGAGGTCAATTTTTGCCTTTGGGCCTTGGTTTCCTCAACTGAAAACTGACTGGTTTTTAGCCCCCCATCCTCTTCTGGCTCCAGCCTTCTGTGAGTTGCTGGGAACACACATTAAAGAATCACAGGCTGTAGGTAAAATGGGGAACACAGAGCCTGGCACAGAGCCAGGGATGTCAGTATTGTTCATGATAGGAATAATCAGCAATATTTAGTTAGGGCAGAGATTCTCACTCTGGCTGTGACAAAGGCCACATCTGGCCACTGGGGCAAGTGCCCCCAGCAAATTGCAAGGCTGGAACTTGTCCAGTATGTCTCCCTCGTGAAGCCTCGTCTCACCCACCCAGCCATCCAGTGCTCAGAGTCCAGGGAACCCCCTTCCCTCTCTGCCTCCCTCTGACCCCTTCTTTGAGAGTCTCCCTCCCTCTCACCCCTGGTAACTGGCTAAGCCCATCTCACTCTTTACCGTCAGTGAGACCTACAGAACCACTTGCTGTATTAAAGCTGAAAGCGATTGGCATGAACCCGTGACCGGGTTTCAGGCAAAGCTGACAGGAAGCCGGGAGAAGTGGCGGGATGGGTAAGTCCCCAGGGCTTCATGGCGCAGCTGTGCTTGGGCTGAGCCCTTGACTCACCTTCCACAGCGCCCTGACCTCTGGGGTGGAAACTGGCATAGCTGGGTCCGTGTCACGTGTCACAGGGCAGGTTACAAATAGCACGGGGATTGGCAAACCCATCCCAAAACTCCTGGTTCAAGGGCAGGGAAAGTTACCGCTTTAATTGCTGCCGACCATTAACAACTGAGAACCGGAAGAGGGGTTCTAAGGCAAAGAGCGTAGGTGTGTGTGCGGAAGGGACAGAGCTGACCTGCCAAGGGCCTGCTTCAGTCTTGGAGCGAGGACCTCGTGCCTGAATAGCTCAGGTATGGAGCACCTTGTCTCACATTCTAAACAGAGCGCACGTTTCAGTGACTTGGTGTCTCCATAACGCGTTCGCGGTCGGGGAGCTGGCAGCGGGGGACGCGCTCCAGTGACCAGCCATCAAGGTCTCCGGAGCGGCAGGAGGGCCACCGCCGCCAGGTAGACCGGTCCCGGACAGCGTCGTGGCCGAAAGCGCAGCCTCAGGAACGCGGGGCCCGATCCCGCCTGCGCCACGGCCACATCGGAAAGGGGGCCAGGGGCTTCCCCCGCCTCAACTCTGCGCCCTGAGCGCCCAAAGGATCCGGTTCCCTTCCTGCTGCCTGGATCTCGGCCCGCGCGGCGCGCAGTGCGGGCAGCCAAGAGGAGAACCTCAGCTCGCCTCCCCCCACCTCGCACGGCTGCGGGCCAGGGAGGTGGCGGGGGTGCCCGTTCTCCCCGGATTCCTCGCGCGCACGGTCACGGGCGAAGCGGCCACATCTGCCAGCCTTGGGCTCCGAGGCCGCCCCTCGTCACCCACTGCCGCGCCGGGCGCGCCTCCGGCCCCGCAGGGCAGCACCCGGTGGCGGCCAGCTCCCGCCAGTCCGCCCTGCCCGGCGTGCCCCCGCCGCCGCGCCCTCTCTGGCACCGCCTCCTTCTGTAAATACAGCGGCGGCCCGCCCTCCGCAACCGGACGCGCAGGTGGAAACGCGCGGTGCGGGCCGCCACCGGAGGCCGCGCCCAGCCGGGTGCCCACGGCCAGCGCCGCCCCGCCGAGCGCCCACCCCGAGGCCGGTGCCAGCGCCCGGGACGCGCGCTGGCGCAGGTAGCGCGCACGCAGGACGAAGCCTCAGGTGAGTGCTCCGCGCCCCGCGCTTCTCCGCACTGCCGCGCGGCCAAGGCTTGGTGCGGGGAGCGGCGCGGGCGCGGAGGACCCCGAGCCGAAGCTGCGGGGTGGGAGCCGCAAGCCCAGCCGCTGGGGGCTGTTGTTGCGCTCGGGCTCCCTGAAACCCACGGCAGGATTCCCTATACAAGACTTGGGGCTGGCTTTACCTCGATCCCCAAACGCACAGAGCCTTGGGCATGGTGAGATGCTGATTTGGAATTGTCCTTTGGAAAACAGTGGTGGAGAGGTAGATTTGGCTTTGGGGAAATTAAATGTAGGTTGGTATTTGGAAAGGGTTTAATTTTCTGTGAGTGTAGATGTTTTTGTGTCCGTTCGTGAATACGTGTATGAGACAGACAGACTTGACTGCCTACATTATTATGGATGAGGGATTGGTACGTATGGCAGGTGTGTAGTCCACTTGTCCATGGACAAGAGCTACAGATCCAGTTTTAGGCTTACTTTTACTTTACTAGTATTTGGGGAATTCGCCTTAAGACATTTGAAGCCTTGTGACTCGCTTCAGAGTTGAAGGTACCAGGAATTCAGTGAATTCCTGATAGGACTTTATAACAGAGAATCACCCTTATCTCTGGAACCAGCACAAGAGATTACATGAGTCAGATTTCTGTTTTTTAAATTAGTTCAATATTTTCTTTCAGTGTTTGTCTCAGCATATTCCATCTTCACAAATACAGTTTGCCCAGGTTTAAAATGGAAGCTTATTTCCCTCCTAGATTTCCTTCTTTCTCCAGCTTCCTTCTGATTCGATTGTACTTTTTCCTGGAAAAGTACTTCCTAGTATAAGACCAGCTATTTCTTTTCTTTACTTAAATTGACCCTCCTTGGACACGACTTGGGTTTGTCAGGACGGCCTTGGCTTTACAGCCTCAATCTTGAGCTCCTTCATGGGATCATGGATACAAATGGTACAAAATATTTTAAGTTTTCTTTCCTTGAGCCAGTAAAAATGGTCTTCACACTTGGGTTGTCTTTTCCACTGCCCCAACTTGAAGGGTCCTGGTAAAATACTCCACTCATAAGAGTAAGACAAGATAACTAAGATTATAAAGTCAATCTGCATACACTAGACAACTATTAACAATGGATTCGGGTCCACTTCATATATGATGATACCAGCAGAGGGCTTGGGTAATCTTGTGGGGAGGTGCTTTCCCACTTGATCTCACTTACACTCTCCGAGAGTTCAGAGTCAAGTGCTGTTGCTGTTTCATGCTTTTTTAACTGGTGATTTTATCGGCTGCTTATTTTTAACGGAGCCTAAACCTTTTTGTGGAAGTGAGAGGCACCTTGGAGGAGGGTACGTGAGAGGCCACCTGCACACCTGGGAGACAAGGCTCCTCCTGACGCTCTGTGCTAGACTCCCCTGGGTCACCCCGGCCTAGTCAGCCGGGCCCCCGAGTTCCAGTGCCTGTGTGAGAACTCAAAAATCACATTTTGACAGAGTTAACTTAAAATCCCCCAAACTCACTGTGTTCCTGAACTGCCTTCCCCTTCAGTGGAAACAACTGAATTGGGCCTCCTGCAGGTGTCCTGGCCTTAGAAGAAGGCGGCGGAATGGAAAGTTGCTGCAGTCTGAAATAGGAAATGGAAAGTTAGTTACTGAACAAAAATTTATCGACTCGGAAATGCTCAGAGCAGCTGTGATGAAACGTGGGATGTCTGTAAATCAGAAATAATCCCTGTGGTTCTTCCCTTACTCACCACTGTTTTGGGGGTTGTTTGTTTTGTTTTGTTTTGTTTTGCCCGGGGAAGTGAGTTTGTAAGACTTATAACAGGAAAAGCCACACCCAGTTACTTCTCTTGTATGGGTTTTGTTTTTTTTAGATAATCTTAGGTGCATGGTAATTGCATTTCCTCTTCTTGAATATCTTCACAAAATTTCATATTCAGGAGTTTCTGAATGCCAGTGCTTCTGACTCATAAACCAACTCATTGTTCACCAGTGTATCACTTGCATCAAGTTCTGTCCCCTATGATTTCATCCTGGAGTGATTTCTGAAATGGCCAGGGCGGGCCAGGAACACCTGTGCCCACTTTAATTTGGTGTTTGGTTGTATTTTCAGAGCTGTTGAAACCACTGGAGGGAAGGAAATCCATCCTGCCTGGTTCTGGGGAAGGGGCTTCTTCTGGCCATGTCTCCTGTAGCTGCCGCTGAGCCAGACGGGGTCCAGCGAGACAGGCGTGTCAGCAAGCTCATTTTCTTCCTTTTTGTCTTTGGTGCCATCCTGTTGTGTGTGGGAGTCCTGCTCTCCATCTTTGGGTTCCAGGCATGCCAGTACAAAATCTTCCCAGACTGCAGCATGGTGCTGAAGGTCGCTGGGCCTGCCTGTGCCGCGGCTGGGCTTGGGGCTGTGATCCTGGCCCGCTCGCGGGCACGACTTCAGCTCCGTGAGGGGCGCCTGCGGGGCAGTCAGGCGGACCCCGACCGAGCCTTCATCTGTGGAGAGAGCCGCCAGTTTGCCCAGTGCCTCATCTTCGGGTTTCTGTTCTTGACGAGTGGCATGCTCATCAGCATTCTGGGCATTTGGGTCCCCGGCTGTGGTTCAGACTGGGCGCAGGAACCCCTGAATGAGACAGACACTGCCGACGTGGAGCCCCGGATCTGTGGATTCCTGTCCCTGCAGATCATGGGGCCCTTGATTGTACTCATGGGACTGTGTTTCTTTGTGGTTGCCCACGTTAAGAGAAACAACTTGAATGAGGGCCAGGATGCCTCCGAAAGTGAAGACAGACAGACGCAGAGCACGGAGCCCGTCCATGTCACCGTAGGTACGTAGCTGTCGTTCCTGGGCACCCTCACATCACAGTGGCTGTTGCATCAGGGCTTCGCTGGGTTGTCCTCGGGTCTGGCCTAGGTTCTCCCTTTTCTCTGTCTCTCTTACACACCCATGCACGCATGCACACGCGCGCGCACATACACACACGGTGCTGCTGCTGTGCTAAGCCCTGTAAGAATCCTTGTGCACATCATTTCCTCCCAGCAATTCCTTGTGATCGAGCAAAAGCTTTGGGACATTAAGTCATGACCTTGACTGAGGTCACAGAGCAAATTAGGAGGAAAGTGAGAGAAAGTGCTAGCATAGCCTGGGAGCCTTCTGTCACGTTAGAGACCCGCCAAGTGACGTTGAAAGCTAGGGCACTTTGTGTTGGACGTGTAGATTCTCATCCCTGGCTGTCACCGGCTGGCTGTCCTTGGTAAGTCCTTAACCCCTTCTGGCCTGAGTTTATGCATCTATAAAATGAGCATTGCATTGCTAAGATCCCTCCCAGCACTAACATTCTAGGATTCTGTCTGCCCCAAGTCCGTAGATCTTCTGTGTTTTGAGGGGGCTTTCCACACTGTTTCCCACATTGTTCTCTATTTTCTGTAACCTTATCCTTGGCTTCAGGGTGGAGGCGAAGTTTGGAAATAGTGGGACCAACACTGATAAAGCATGATCGCACTTGTCACTTATTTCCCCCATGGAATGCCGAGAAACGACGTTTGTGTTCTCTGGGTTCTGCAGAAGAGATGGATTACCGTTTCCTGGAGTCAGCCCCTATAGCACAACTTCAGTAGCTTTGGCCTCAGTTTCACACAACCGAGGGGAAACCCCGCTGCTGCTCATTTTTGAAAATTGTTTTTTCAGTCTCTTACTTTTGAAAGGGTAAAGCTCTGAAGCCATCGCTGTGACATCTAAAAGGCTACGCACAGAGCATTAGGGACAGAAATCCCTGGGAGGGAAGAGAGGAGGAGCGTGGTGAAAGGGATGTTTCTCATGGTTGGGGCTGTCTGCTGGAGGAAGTGCTACTCACTGGGGGAAATCCCTGGCCTTCCAGCCTTGCGTGGCCCGGCCTTGGCGAGCAAGGGCAGATGGGTTTACAGACCAACCCTGGAGCCGCGGGTGAAACTCCCAGGCTACTATTTGTGTATTTATATATTTACGGTGACCACACCAATATCAGTTGTATCTTAATAATAGCTAACACAGATATGGGGCTCATTCCAGGGCCATATACCCATCCAAGTGCCCTTCAAGGGCCTACTCTGTCAAAGCTGTTCACACCTACAGCAACCCAATGAGGCAGATCCTCTTAGTATCTCTGTGTCAGGGATGAAGAAACCGAGGCACAGGCATATCCCATAACTTGCCAAGGTCACAGACTAGCAAGTGGCAGGGCCGGGCTCCAAACCCAGGCAGGGGGCACGCGTGGACTCTGGCCCCCGCAGAGCACCAGGGAGGGCCTCTGGGCACATGGCTGTGATTCTGGTTCAGCCGGTTTCATCCTTCCCCAAGTGTTGCGGGTAGCTGTTACATGACTAAAGGGCTTGCCTTATGTTATAGATGTGCTCAGGCCTTTTGGGGAACGCAGTGGGGACAAGTAAATGCACTCACTTGATGCTCATAGTATTCCGCGTAGTTGGGAGCATTTCGACGTGTGCCCTGTGGGTTTACTATCAGAGGGTCTGTGGGGCCCAGCCTCCCTCCCAATGGCTGGAATTGGGGGGCAGCAGAAAGCAGGGCTGCTGGTGCTGGGACATAGTGACTTGGGGTGGGGGGGGTTCTCCTCCTGATGTTGGCACTCCATCCTCCATCGCTTAAAATCTTTTCCACTTAACCCTTTAAGTTCCATTAAACCTGTGGAAGTCTGGTAGCCTAACTCATTTTTCTCTCCTTTGATATTATGGGATAGGGTTTAAACGTTTAGAAACCGTGCCTGTTAGCCTAATTGATAAGAATCTAGACATTGTCCGTGGTCGCTTCTGCCTGTGAGGGACTGGGGTGAAGAGAAGCAGTTCTTGGCTAAGTCCCAGAATTCAGCTGTTCCCAGAATGGAAGCCCCTCCTCCCCAGACACGTGATACCCCCACTGTGGGCACACTCAGCGCTGGGTCCTGAACACACAAGCAGGGGCATGAGACAGCCCCCTCCCTTGAGGGATGTCTGCTGTCAACTCAGAGGACGTCAAGTCCTGCAGGACATAGTAAAAGGGAAACCCAGGGGGGACGGGACTGCTTTCAGGGAGAGCAGGTCGCAAGGCTCGGGGAGGGAGGGGCGGGCAACTGATGGGCAGAGGCTTGGACGAGCCTCAGACACAGCTGGTGACTGCGAGCACTTCCTTGTTTGCGTTGGAGAGGTGGCTGGCCTGCTCTGGAGGCTTATTCCCAGCTCCTTTGTTCTACACTGTGTAATTAAACAATCGACCTTGCTTCCTCTAACCTACCAAGACCTGTGAAAAAAATTAAATGAGAAGCCCAAGATAACCATGAGCTGTTATCAGATTTAGGTGAGCGCTATCTTAAGCCCTCGTGGTCATGTGCTTGTAGGAGGAGAGAAAGAGTTAACACATTTTCCGAAGGGCTCCCTCCCCTCTGGGGGAGCCACCGAGGCTGCCCGGAGAGGGGCTGCCTGCGGCGAGGGTTTCATCACACATGCAAATCAGGGCTACTGGCTGGCGGCGGCGGCTGGTGCAGAAAGCACCTCTGCGGCTGTGTGTTCCGGCTGTGAGCTGTGAGCGTTTGCTCCATGCCCGGCACTGCTGTCCCCGCCACACACCACCCCGGCCCTCCTGCCTGGTCGCTGAGGCAGGAGCAGTTATGGATGGCCTGCGGTTCACCGATGCGGCAGCTGAGGCCGGTGGGGGTCCGATCCCTCGCTCAGGGCCACGCTGGGCCGGTAATCGGCAGATGGCCCGCTGGTTGCGCTCAGGACCCCGGTGCTTACCCAGCCAGGCGTCAGATCCGCTGCCGCCACCTGAAGTCCTCTCCCCTTCGTTCCTCCCGCGCTGTCCTTCGGTGCTGCCAGCTTATCCGAGGCTGCCCTCAAACCGCTACGGAGCGGTGCTGCCATGTGTGTAGAATGTTCTGGGCAACTCACGGGCCGCGTTTTGTATTGGAATTGGACTACCAATGAGGGCTTGCGTCTGGTGTCTGTTTCTCCTCCCCCAAATATGGGATGTATTCTGGAGTGAACAGCAGCTTGTTGGCCTGTGGTCAGAGGCTACAACTGCATGTAAGGAACAGGCACTTTATCCAACTGCTAAGGGTTGACAGTTTAAAACTTCAAGTTGAGAATGAGAAAGGCTTTGCAGCAGGAGGCATCCCAAGGAAGCAAATACTTAAAACAGAAATGCTTGAGCTTAGACTTACTAGGAAAATATTGGCCCACTGTTTGAAAAAATTGTGGTACAATATATGTAACATAAAATTTACCATTTTAAGCATTTTTTAGTGGACAGGGACATTAAGTACATTTGCAGTGTTCTGCAGCCATCACCACTATCAAGTTCTAGAAGTTTTTCATTATCAAAGAGAAACTGCCCCCGTTAAACACTCACTCGAATCCCCCCAAGCCTCACCCCAGTCCCTGGCAACCTCCACGCTCCCTCTCTGTGAATTTGATAGGCCCACTTTTAAATTCTGGAGTTAGCATAGGGGTTTTGACCTTTTATATTCACGGGGCCAAATATATAATTATTTTATTCTTGCTAATGTGCTTGTCTTCAATGAAATATTGTGTTTCCTTAGGTGATGCCGTGATAGTATTCCCACCCCCACCACCACCTTACTTTCCCGAGTCTTCAGCTTCTACAACTCCGAGTCCTGGGGCTAATGGTTTGCTTCCAAATGAAAATCCGCCTTCATATTACAGTATTTTTACCTATGGGTAAGACTTTGCATTTGAACTTCAAGAGTAGGCATGTTTAACTTTCTCAGGCCTGTGCCTGAACTCAGGCCAAATTAGCTTTGTACCATAGTACAGGAATAAACATTACAGTGTATCTTTTTTGCTGACATCATATCAGAATTACTGCCTTAATATTAAGAGTACCTTTTGGGAAACGTTGGGCAGCACATACATTAAAAATTATAAAAGTGGTTATGCTGGGTTAAATACGAAGCCTTCTCCAGGCATCTTCATGTACCCCTGGCAGGGGGGAATCCTCCAAGTGTTTAACACTTTATTAGCCAGACTGAGCACCAGAGCAGGGCTTGGGAGGCCCCCTGCTATGTTAGGCTTTGCCACTTTAGATGAAGGGGAGACGCGGGGGTCCTAGGGGACCTCCAGCAGGTACAGAGGGTTTCAGTATCTCACGGAAGAAGTTGGGTGACTGATTGATAGCCTGCCCCCTGACCCAACCAAGCTGGGCTTCTCCTCTCAATTTGAAGTTGTTCCCTGGGCCTCAGAGCCTTCTCAGATTGAATGAAGGGAAATCCAAGATTCACACCCCCATCCCCCACGCTCCCCATATGCCACAAATTAGGAGGCATACCTGGGGTCAGATTAAATGCCATCCCTTCAGGCAGAGGGATGCAGTTGAAGGTTTCAGACCTTCATGGAACCAGTGCAGCTCACAGTGTGGGAAGGCTGGTGGGGGCAGACCAGTTGGGGGGCTGGCTTCTGTAGACACTGAGAAATAGGACCTAGGAGACCCGGAGAGAATGCTGGGGATGGGCACAGCCTTACCTGGTCATTCATGTTTTAAGGCACACGTTCTTCTTGAGCTTCAGACAGGGTGGTGGGCCAGAGATCCAGACAGAGACAGGTATAGGAATTGTCCTGCATGGATGAAGGGGAGGTTAGGTTCTGGACATTTGTATAATTCCGTGAGTGAATTTTTGTATTCTTTTCTCCAATGATGAACTTCCCCAAGCCCTAAACAAATGTCTTTTAACTTAAAACAAACTCGTACTTGCTACCCCCACAATTTCTGTGTGCCACGGCCTGGCTTTCCTTGCATTCTCTCAGGTCATTCTCCTGGGTAGCCGAGACAGCAGTCTTGTCGTCCCCATTTTATAGATGAAGAGACCGAGGCTTAGTGAGGTGAAATAACTTGCTCAAGATTGCACAGCTGGAAAGCAGTGGAGGGGCAGTCCAGAGGCATGTCTGCCCGTTGCTAGAACCCACCCCAGTACCCAGTATGCTTTCTAGCCTCCCTTCACGTTTTTGGCTTACTGATTTAATTTTCTCTTCGTATAAGTTTGTCTACCTTATGTTAGCTGTCTCTGAAGAGAAAACAGTAGAGAACAGTAACTGCATGTGAATATTTTGGATGGCAGTGACACGTTCCTACCTCGTGTCTTCTCAATGACAAGGGAAACAGCCACGGGGTGAGACTCTCTTAATGTGACAGTCAGCTCTAAGGAAGGAAAGGGGCAAGAAATCAAGGCGCATCTGTAAGAAATAGAATAGGGAAGAAATTATTCCTTAGACCCTTGCAAATGCTCCTAAACACCTATAATCAAACATTTGAAAAGAACCTCATCCTTACGGTGTGTTACTTTTCTCCTCTCTTCCCTTTCTGTTCTCCCTCCTTTTTAGTAGGACCCCAACTCCTGAGGGCCAAGGCGCGGCCTCCGAGAGAGATCATGAATCTATATACACCATTTCTGGGACTGCTTTGGCCTCTGAGATCTCAATCACTCCGCATCTCTCCTCTGAACTGCCTCCCAGATACGAAGAAAAAGAAATGGCAGCAGCCACAACCTCATCTCCATCTTCTGAGCCTTCCCCACCGTGAACTCTGGACTCCAGTTCCATTTTCTATAAAATTGATCACTGTTTTATTTAATTTGTTTTTTAATAAAAAAAATACAATGGCCTAGGCTCTGTTCTGATTTCAGTGAACGTTCTGGATCAAGCGTGCTCTGGACCACGGGAGACGCCATGTGCCTCCAGCCCGCCCATAAGCTGGTTCTCTCACTGAGACCCGCTACATCCGAAGTGGTGGAGGAAGAAACAAAGGCTCTGAGAGGCTAATTAACTTATTGCAGGTCACACTGCTTCTAAACAGTGAGGCTGGGTTTTGAGCCAATGCCGCTGGGTTCCGGAAGTCGTTACCCTGTGCTGTTCAGAAGCTGACCAGATGCAGTTGTTCATGGTGAGCCTGGTCCATTCTGTTTTCCAATGTTAACTGCTTCTGGGGCAGAGAAACTAGATTACTCTCTTCATTTCTTTATTATTTCTTCTTCCTCGTCTTTTCTTCCCTCTCCCTCTCTTCCTTCCTCCTCTCCTATTCTCCTTTCTTTCTTTCATTTTGCAAGAAGGTAATTAGGCCTTTCACACTGGGGCAGTTTCAGCCCACTGATATCCGGAAGTCTCCTTACGGTGAAGTGACACTTTCAGAAAAGAGATTTCTTGGGCTCCTGGGAAAACTCGATTCCCCTGGAGAGGTCCGGGAAGGACCTCTACGTACTGCTCCGACTGCATGGACCACCGACTTTGATTCTCATAAGGCTACTGATGAACCAAAGCTTCTGTAGAGTTGGGCAGCACGGTAAGTATTTAATTCTAGATATAACCCAGAAATAACCACTAAGTGTTATCAGTTCTACCTGGGAGAAACTGCCTTTGAGAAAACGTAAATCTATAGTAACAGCACTGTTGATAACACAGTTTGGTGTAGCAAAAATGTGAGCTTTTTATGCCTTTACACAAGCCATAACCCCTATAAAAATCTGTATTACCCAGCAGTTAAGTGCCTAAAAGCAGAACGTAAGGGCGTTAATGCTCCAGTAGTTTGACCAAAGTAATGACTGATTTCATGGGAATTGCTACCACAATAAATCCTGGGAAGCCGTCTCTACTAGAAGCACTCATCTGTCTCTGAATTGGACATTTATTGGATGGAACTGCTCTTAAAATTCTGCTGTTTTTTTCTCCTGGAAGGTTAATTATTCACATTTTAAAATTAGAACAAAAGGCAGATCATTACCACTTCCTACTGCTATTATTTGTTTAAAATGATGAAGCTGAAATTTCTAGGTAGACTGACTTAGTTCTGAACACTTACGAGTTCTCCTCAATAACCAAGGATGGCTTGGCTTGGTTCAATGGCTCAGAGCTGGGGTTTGTCACTGAGTATTTTATCTTTATATGCTAATAAAATTAAAATGCAGTAGGCGTAAGTCTGACCTTCTGGTTAGGGAAGTCTCTTCAACCTCTGTCAGTCTCCGTGGTGTTCAGCAAGGTGGAGCCTGGTGGAGCCTGGAGAAGCCGGAGCATTGTGAGAGGTCCCCCAGGGTGAAGCTGTTTATTGCCAGACTGAAGTCACAGGTGGCAGAGCTGGGGCAAATTATTTAGTCATGGAAGATACATCCTATGCCTATCAAGGTTCTGGCAAAGGGTGACAGCTTCCGAAAACCTACGTGGTGGACTGTTACTTGACTTTTCCTTCGTATGTGTTAACATTTTTTTTTTAATTGAGGCAAAATTAATATAAAACGAACCATTTTAAGGTGAACAATTCAGTGGCATTGGGTATATTCACAGCATTGTGTAACCACCTCCTCTATCTGATTCCAAACTATTTTCATTACCCCCAAAGAAAACCCATTAAACAGTCACTCCCCATCGCCTCCCTCACCCCACCCCTTGGCAACCACCAGTCTGCTCTGTCTCTGTAGATTTACCTTTCCTGGGTATTTCATGTTTTGAGATTCATCCACACCATAATACGTATCAGTACTTCATCGCTTTTTAGAGCGGAGTGATAACTGCCTTGTATGGATATGCCATAGTTTATTCGTTCATCCATTGGTGGATATCTGTTGTGCCCTCCTTTTGGCTGTTCCAATGAGTGCGGCTATGGACATTCGTGTACAAGCTTCTAATGTTCTAATTCTTTTGGTTGTACACCTTGGGAATGGAATTGCTAGACCATATGCTAACCTTAAGTTTTTGAAGAAATGAAAACTGTTGCCCACAGAGGCTGTACCTTTTTCCATTCCCACTGGCAGTGTATGGGAGTTCCAATTCTTCCACACCCCCACCCACACTTGTTATTTTGTCATCATCACCACCATCACCATCATCATTATGACTATAGCAACCCTAGTTAGCATGAAATGGTGTCTCGTTCTGGTTTTCATTTCCATTTCTCTAGTGACTAAGCATACTGAACATCTTCCCATGTATGTTACCTGTTTTTGAAGACCCAAATGTTATCGTCAGTAGCATAGAGAATCTTATTCCTGAGTTCCCTCCTATGGTGTTGGGAGGTGTGATAGCCACCTTGTGGAAAACCATGATGAGCTCTGCAAGTTCAGGTGGGACAACCCACACCAGCTACACGGTGTTGCCATACTGCCTCCATGCCATGAGAACCTGTTCTTGTGAATTCTTTATCCTCTCCGGGGGTCAGTGAAGTGGACTAACCCAGTCAACAAGTTCTACTGAAACGAAAGCAAATGTTGGACTAGGCAAAGTCCCTTGGCTATTCAATTTACAGGCTAAGGAGGAATGCAACAGGCCAAGGGAAGTGTGTTTTCAGAGGATGAGAGCTGAGGGGAAGCAAGTATGTGGTCATCTAATTTCACCTGAGAGATTCCACCTGAGAGGTTCCATCTGGGAGTAGGATGGGGCGAGGCCTCTGGGACATCCTGGGGTGATGTGACTATTGTTTTCTTATATAGTTGCTTTGCAGAGGAATGAGGCCAGGAGGGCGGTGAGTGGCCCCGGAAGGGAGGCACCATTTCAGGGTAGGTCATAGGAAAGGAATGAGTCTAAAGATAGGAAGTGAACCTCAGAAGGTGGCCTTAGGTGGGCAGAAGACAGACTGTAGCCTGGCGGAATCTATGAGGGTCCACAATGATAAGAACCAGTATTAATTGTTGAAAAAGTTAATGTCCTGAGTTCCATTCCAGACTGGGTCAATAAATCCAAATCTCCAGGAGAGTAGTGTTTATCAATTGGGAACCTGGGAAACACTGCCAGTGGGGACAATAGAAACTGCAGAGGCAATGCCATGTGGGCCAGATTATCTGGGATTATGAGCTCCTTGTGACTTCTAGGCCTTCCAGAAAGCCCTGTTTACACACCCCAGCCCGTGCTAAGGGTCCTAAAAGGGAAGGATGGGGTTTGCCGTCAGCCCCCCAGTGTGGATGGGGGCTTCACACAGTCTCACCAGTCCAGTCTTCCAGGCAGCTCTGTCAGGGATGTATGAGACAGCCCCAGGGTCCTGGGGAAACCAGCGCAGAGGCCCTTGCCTCCTTCGTATGGGGAGTCCTCCTGAATTTCCAGACTGGGGGACGTTGGTCTCATTTATTCGGGAAGGCATGGTTTTATCTTTGCTTCTCTGTGTTGGAAGCAATCAGGACCACTGGGTGCCTACAGCTGGGAGCATTGATGATGTTTGTCCAGACCAGGCAGAACGGAGGAAAACGTTATTCAGGTTGAAATGGGAAATGCTTGAAAATGTCCAAGTGGGAAATAGTATGGGAGTAGTATGAGGGTTCCTTCCTCTCAGTGCCTCTCAGCCTCTGATGGGTCAGTTAGGAGAGCTCCCCCCGGTCAGACTGGTGGGCTGGGCTCCACCTGCTGCCACCCTGGGAACAGGAAACCCTGATCCTTGAGCCTCTGGTGTCGGTACTTCTCCAAAGGAGAGAGAAGTTGGGAAGCACACTGCAGGGATGGTAGGTGGGCCAGCGGGGTGAAATGTCCTCTGACCCTTGGTGGGGAACGATGCATGGTCTGTCTGCCTCATGCCACGAGCCCTCCTGGGGTCTGGCGTACCTTGGTTTCTTGGACTACGCTGCCGCCAACACAAGTTCCCCAACAGGAACGAAGGAGAGGCTTGGATGCAGCTTTGTGGGGCTGGGGGTGGGGTCAGTGCTGGACGTACAGTGACTTCACTACTCCATCTGTTTTCTGGAGGCTGCTTGGGCCTGAAGGAGCCAGAAGCTGGGTAAGGCGGGTTGGTGGGGGTAGATGAGCCACCACTGATGCTATGTGCCCAACCACTCAAAGGGCACTTATTTAAAGGCCCTTAGGCACTAACTTGCCTCCAAGTTTCTCATCCTCAGGCTCTGAAACCTTCTTCCCCCTTCATGGGGCTCAGGTAGTAAAGTTGCTAGGAGCGGAGCCCCCCCTGCTGCTCTCTCTGGGGAACCTGCTGGGTTGGGGGGCTGAAGCCCGGCTCTGACAGGTGCAAGGCCAGGCCAAGCGGTTTCCCTGCTGTGTCTCCTCCCTGCTGCTCCATGGGAAGTGACAAGTTATTACAGGTCCCAGAGGTGCAGTCTGGCAGAGCCTGACGTCCTTCACCAGGCCTGTGTCCTTCACGGCTGTGCACTGCAAAGGGAACTGAATGCCCAGTTAGACGTGGCCATGGGCAGGTTACTGCTCTGCTCCCATGCTGGCCTGTTTCTGGGGTGCCCTTCAGCCCTGGAAAGGAACCAGACTGCAGTCCAGCTCCTATAAGGGCCTCCTCTCTTCATAGTAGGCTGCTGGCTTTGGGATTCTTTCTCCCTTTGAATTGTAATTCAATATTACTACTAATAAAATTATTGAGTAAAGTAAAAGAGTTTTTAAGTTTTTTAAGTCCTTAAATATATTTCATTAAGCCCAAATGTAAACTTAAGAGTATTACATTGGAAATCACTTAAATAATTATTTTCCTCTGTATTACTAATCTGATATACAGTTAGGGTCATTTATCCCCATTTATATTTAATATTAAGGTTAATTTTGCTTTTAAATTAAATTAAATTTTTTTTTTAAAGATTTACTATTTGAGAGAGAGCAGGAGAGTGAGAGAGCGAGCATGAGTGGGGAAAGGGCAGAGGGAGAGGCAGAGAGAGAATCTCAAGCAGACTCCCCC